GACAGTGAAGTAATTTGTCATTTAACTGAATATTGTCATCTGTAATATTACTGAAGTATTCTGGAAGATTGTTGATGAAAATTTTGAATAAATTTGGACTCAGATTGTCTCCCTGTTTAACCCCTAGTCTAATAGGGAAAGTTTCAGTGACTTGATTGTTTAACTTAATGCATGATCTGCTACAATTGTACATACTCTTTATTATATTGTAAAATTTAGATCCAACACCAATTTCTAGCAATTTAATTTTGATACCTTCATGTATAACTGTGTCAAATGCCTTTCTAAAGTCAATGAAACATGCATAGAGTCGTCCTTCTTTTTGAGAGCAGTATGTTTCAAATAAAGTTCTTAGAATAAACATGTGATCAGATGTTCTTGCCTTTTTACAGAAACCAATTTGACAATCATTGATAATTTTGTTTTTCATTAGATATTTGTCTAACCTTTTATTCAATACACTGTTAAATAATTTACCAATTGCACTAGTGATGGTAATGCCACGGTAATTGTTTGGGTTATTGATATCCCCCATTTTATGCAGAACAGTTATATATCCCTCAGCCCATGATTTAGGATAAAGTCCATGTGACAGGCAAGCATTGAAGATATTTCTTAAAGATGGTAGTAGGGCGTTGTGACCATACTTAATCATATGATTGGAAATGTTGTCTAACCCAGGAGCCTTGTTATATTTAATACAAGAAATTGCCTCCGATATTTCTGAAGAACTTATTAGATAGTCCAATTCATTAAAGCATTGCTTATTTTCCATTTGAGAAATTTTCTTTTTCAATTCATTTAGTCTTTCCAAATATGACTCTTTCACTTCATTTAATTTTATAAAATCATCCAGCCATCTATTAGGATGAATATCTGTATCTACTGCATTATTTTTGTCAAGTAGATGGTTCACAAGATTCCAACAGAGTTTGGGATTATCCTCATTTAAAGCATCAAGCCTTGCAATTAGGGACTGCTTATATTGAATTCGTTTGTTTTTACATAACTTAGCATACTGTTTTCTGAGTCGAAAAAATCTGCCTCTTAAAATTGGATCTTTTGGAAATTGAGACATAATTCTAGCAACATTAATCAATCTATTTTTCGTATGTTTTAGGTCTCCATCAAACCATTTCTTGTTTTTACTTCTTTTTGGTTGTGCTGTTTTAATTTTATTTCTTTTCAAGGATCTAGCTGCAGCATTAATAATAATGTTTTGGAGTTTGTCCACAGCAGTATTCAGAGAGGATAATGAATTCTGAACCTCAAAATTTGCCAAATCAGACAGATCTTTCTGTATGTCTACAGAGGTTAAAGCTTCCTGAAATTTAAATGCTGAATCTTCTGACCATATAAAATGTGGTTCAATAAATTGCATCTTACACATATCTTGATTTTTGTCTATTAGAGTTGTAAAATTGGCAGACATTTCCCAGTGTAATAAGCAGTGACAGTCAGATAGTGTAGGATCAAAGTCATTTACACTGATTAGTACAAAATCTGATCCAAAATACTTTCAGATATAATAACATAGTCAACCACGCTTGAGCCATTAGGGGTGTAACAAGTAGGTTTTCCAAAAATATCTCCAAATGTTCTACCATTCACTATTCTTATATTTTGACTGATACAAAGTTCAATAAGTTCTTTGCCACGATTGTCTAATTTGTCATCCTGACTTTTTCTATGTCTGATTTCTTTGTCAATATTATATTGGTCATATAAGGGTACATATACATTATCATCACAGGGAATAAAATCCAAGTGATTAGATGTTCTAGCATTGAAGTCACCACATATTAATATGTTACCTAATTTACTATATTGTATCAGTTCTTTTTCTAAACATTCAATTATATTGTAATTCAGTCCAAGGGTATATGATGATGTACTAGGTGGATCATATACAACACATATGAATAAATTTTCTTGGAGACCAAAATAAGTTTTGTCTAGTTGAAGCCATTGAAAATCATCAGATGTGTTATTGAGGATTTTTATGTGTGGTTTAATGTAATTTTTACATAAAATACCTAATCCACCAAAATGTCTATTGTTATGTTTACTCATGGGCCTACATACAGTATGAAAGTAAAAAGGGCCAATTTTATGTGGTAGTTGACCAGACCCAATGTGGGTTTCAACAAGAAAAACAATATCATATTTCTTCATGGTATTCATAAATCTAGGATCACAAGTTTTGTTAAAATCCTGACTTACTAAGCCACCAACATTCAGAAATGCAAACTTCAAAGATTTTTGTTTGCCTGTACACTCCATATTTGTTAATGTAGTATTCTTTAGTAATACAAAAAAAAAAAAAAAAAAAAATCAATTAATAAAGAAGTGTTATATCGTAAGAATCACTCTTGCTTTAATCAGGTCTGGGCGGCCTCCGTTTTTGGAGGATAGCTAAATTCAATATGGCGGCCAAAATTTTTACCATATATGGAAACCGCGTTGCATTGTGGGATAGTTTATCCTCCGATTTCAGAGGATAACACAGGTAATTTTCAAACACCTCGTGCCTACCTTTAATCAAAAAGTGCAAGCACCAGAGTACATGCAAATAAAAGTTCAAACATTAAACTATCGATTGTATGTGGCGATTTGAGATTCTATGTCTAGATATTTTGCAATTTATTTTCAAAGTTAGCACTTTTTGCGCTCAATAAATATTGAATATTTCTTGTTATTTTCTTTTATTTTTTATTTTTTTTCCTTATTTAGACAAATGAAGAAGGACTTTAATATTTCTTTTATATTTTCTTTTAATTCAAAAAAGGAAACACATTTTAAGCGTATTTAAAACGCAAAATCTACTCTGCCTTATAATTTAAGCAAATAAAAGTATATTTGGATTGAATGAATAATTATAAAAATAAATAAATGATTCGAATAGCATAAGTAAATAAAATAAATAATTTAACATGTTTACTAAGAAATTAACATATATTCATACAGTCATGTGTATACATAAACAAATAAATATTACAAAGTGATGTGCTTAAGAATTATTACCTGGAAGAAATAATAAATGATTAAAATCAATTTTTCCAAAAAAAATTGTTTATCAAAATTTCTAAACTGCTTATCACATAAATACTGAACTGGAAAATCAGCGTGGTTATAATTAACCTCAGTCACAGGCAGGTAAGTGCAATATTTGTTTTCCAAGCTGTATACGGAATAACTGGTTGACGACAATTACAAAAATATAGTTATATTGATTTAATATCTGGAATTATCCATCATCATATGAAATTGTACCTTTTATTTGTTTTGATTTCAAAGTCAGAGTACGGTTCATAAATGCAAGAGTTGCTGTTATTTGTTTGGTTAAGAGTTAACTGCCCTTAGTTTTGAAAATTCCGGTAGGTGGCAAGACCGCTATCCTCTGTTTTCAGAGGATAAAATCTATCCTCCAAAAACAGAGGCCGCCTAGACCTGTTAATTACGAACGTAACAGCAATGAGACAAAATAAAGAGTCGGAATCAACATCATAAAAATTCCACACAAAAAATGTTTTTACAAAAGAACTGGGATTTAGTGCAAAAATAATTGCTAATAAGATTATGATGAAAACTACTTGTCAGTAGAAGAATTATCCTTAGTTTAGTGATACTTGATAATTCAACATAGTTTTAACACGTTAAGCATCACGAAGCATGTATTCAGATTTTCTCACTGTCTTATGATTTAGTGGATTTAATGCAAACGGTGCGATTCATGAAACATTTAATTTACGACAAAAATATAAGCAAATAAATATATAAATTCTTGATCAAAATAAACACTCTTAACTCGAAACACCGAAAAATCGCTGGGTAAATTGAAACAGCAGCAGAGAAATAGAGTTAGTTGATTGCAAGACTCGCATTATTCTTTTTTATCCCATTTTTTTCGCGCACTTACATACTGTACACACGGCATGTATATGACGTTTAAAGCATACAATTGTATCAGTTAAAAAAATCATAGACACTTAACACCTGAACTGGATATCATACAGGCACGTGTATCGAGGGGGGGGGGGGGCGTCCCCTCCACTTAACCTTTTACTGTTGAAAATGTTTATTGAAAGGCTGCCCCCCCCCCCCCCCGCGCACCTACACACATTAAAAAATTAAAATGATTGGTGTCCAAGATTTTTTGGCGGTTGCAGACTAATACTCCGGTGATTTTTTTCTTTTAAGAACCCTCTCTACACTGCACACTAAAGAGTTCTAATTCTGTGGTATTTTTCTGGAGTTAGAGTGATCTGCCCTTAGATCTAAATTCCAATAAATTGAAATTTACAGTATATTACTCAATTTGTAATCAATACAAGTATTCTTAACATTTAAAAGGCCAAGATAAATTAATTGAACACGTTATAATATTTACATATATTTTCTTCATGGAAGTAAACAACCGTGATTTCTGTTCACCGACACTGTGTTGTGTTTAGGCCACAGGGGCTTGCTCCCGGCGTGTAATAATTATTTATTTAAAAAATCATATACGGTAATACTAAAACTTTTTAGTTTTTTAGTTTTAGTATTACCGTATATGATTTTTTTAATAAATAATTATTACACGCCGGGAGCAAGCCCCTGTGTTTAGGCCTAAACATTTTCCCCAGGGATAAATGCCACGTACCATATGCTAAAAATTAAATAGATAAGCTCAATATTTACACCTTTATTCAATATAATTTTCTTGATGTCCAAAAAACATTTTGCACTGGTGTAGAGAGGGTCCAGAATATTGTCGACCTTGTCTATAGGCTAACCAAATGGACATTTGAAGGGGGGGGGGGCGTAAAATTGTGTTCTTTTTTTTGTTTGTTTGTTTGCTTATTTCTTTGTTATTTTTTTTTTTCAAAGTAAGGACATTTCATCTTTTTTTTCACAGTGATAGCAGGAAAAAATGAGTGTTAAATCATTAATTTCCACGTATCCTGGGAAGGGGTTCCGAATATTTTTACGAATGAATTATTTACCGATTTCAGGAAAAACAAAATGGCAGGAGAAGTTGTTGTCGATGCGCTGCCTTATTATGATCGCGGTTACGATGAACCAGGTGTGAGGGAAGCCGTAGGTATCCTTATAAAATTTAGAAAACATTATGAAAAAGTATATACACCAATAATATAAGTCGTTTTTATGTTTTTAAATGTAAATGTCATATACCGGTCCCTATAAATATGGCGCTAAAATAGGTGCCGCCGAAGGCGGTGTACAATATAATGCGATCGCGTGAGCGATCGACAAAATCGATAAAAAAGGCCACAAATCGCAAAACTGAGCCAAAAATCGTGTTCCTTGTGAAAAATTGGGTTTAAAAAACTGGTTTTTAAACACAGTTTTTTAAATGAGAATTAAAAGGTTTTGTAAAATAACGTACTTGTTAAGTAGATAAAACTCCATTTTGCGTTGTTTAGGAATGTGGTCACATGATCAGCTTTTGACGTAATCTCATAAATATTCATGACGTGCGTCACTTGTGTTTTGACGTAATGAAGACTTATGAAGAAGTAGTTGATAGGACTCAAAGTGAAATGCTACTAAAATTGCAAGATTTTTGTGAGAAATGCAGGGATTTAACAAGTGATAACTAATTACTAGTAATTGGTTGATTGAATTGTGCATCACCATTGATTTGAAAGAAAAAATATTCTGAATATGGACATTAGGAGGTTAGGATATCGAGCTAAGTAAACGGTAAGTCGCTTTTACCAATTACTTGCCAAAACTTAGCGCACAATATCGGGCACGTTTCAACATTAGACCAAGGCTAATTCATCCAAGTTTCGCAAAACCTTCCTGTTCTTCCGGTTCTTTGTAAGCAAAAATTGTATGAATAACTTCAATAAGCCCAAAGTGATATAGATGCGAGCATGGGTGAATGTAAAACAGTTACAATATCCGAGCTATTTATATTCTAACCCTAATCCGTAGGTCGCATACAGTGCCATATTTAATTAACGGTTTGTTTAAGTTTTGCATGTTTCATGCTTTACTCCTATAAGATGGTATATCGGCACGGTTCGACATTAGGCTGATTCATGCAAGTTTTTGGTCACAAAAGGCACTTGGCAGTGCCTTTTGTAAGCAAAAATTACATGAATTAGCCCGAAGTCAGGAAGATTTAAGAGTGGATTTATAAAACAGTTCCAATCTTAAAACAATATACCCTAACCCTAATCACTCGATCGAATGCGTTTTGTTGAAGCGAGGGGAAAATGGCGGTTTGTTTACATTCTGCATAGCAACGGCAAGGGAAATAACTGCTCATGCGCAATCGCGTGATTCTGGGGACCGGCATACTAGAAACTTCCCCAAATTACTACAGATTGAGGAAATTCTAACTCGATATACGCCGGGGGTCCTATGGTATTACGGTAGTTAACCTATTTTGTAAAAAAAAAAAAAATCTACCAAAACTGGGATGGTTCAAGAAACCAATATTATTTTCAGTTTCTTCTAGTATGTGCATCTTTAAAGAAAAAATTAAAAGTAAGAATTGTTTTAATACACATGAAACTGAAAGGGAAGTTGCTTCTATTTAAACAGATTTATTTACTTGTAATACTAAATTAATAGCGATTTTAATCATTTTGGTTATGACTATTGCTAAAGAGTAAAGTAACCGGCGAGGAGAAAAATGCAACGAACCAGACCAGAATTCAAATTCAATCAGGACCCCAAAATCCCCAGTCTTGAGCTATCTGGCCACCCGCAATCAAATGTGTTCTTTCACCTGTCCCATCCTGGATAAATGTAAAATGCAACAAACCAGGCCTGCAGGGTTGGTGATTTTCGACCTCGATTGTCTTGTATCCATATTTTTCCTGTAAATTTGAAACTTTAACAGAGTCACGCTGATTAAAGCAGCAGTTTTTATAAGCCTTTTTCTATTATATTCATTTAGAAAATCAGAATCAAACAAAGGCTTTAAAATTCATGGAAACAAGATGAGGCCTAAAAAAAATCAAGTTTGTTTCCTGCAAGTCTAACCTGACCGACCCATTTAAATTTTTTTCTGCCAAATCTAAATCAGCTGATTCAATTTATACAAAAAATTTTAATTGTAGCTTTATTTGAGATATAAAATATGTCAACCTAGTCAACATTTAGCTTATATAAAAGGAGTAGTCATTATTGTAACATCAAGCATTTCTCCCACAACTTTTTTGAAGTTCGTTTTCTGCCACTAGACGGCCATGTTGGGTACCCGCTGTAAATATCACACCTGGCTAATTCAATCTGGGATGTTTGACCCCATATTCATTAACTTAACATAAAAAAAATCCCGACCTACCTACCCTTGATTTTTTTTTGGGGGGGGGGAATGTTACAGGAAAAATATTAATTCTTTTTAGTCCAGATAACTATTTTTTTAAATGTAAAAACATTGATGATGATCCACTACCAGATCATAATTCTGTAATGTCCCACTATAGTAGGCCCTGTATTGTTATTGAATAAAATATTAAAAGCATGAAAAAGGCATTTAATCATTCTTTTATTTTTAGCTTGTAGATCTTCATTTTAGCCTGTGGATTTTACAAGCTAAAATTAGCCTGTGGTTAAAAAAGTTAATTTCGATCCCGGATGCTCTACCAACTGAGCTAAATTCTGGGCACTGTCAGGGACCTATATACTAACGGGATAGGCAACTCCTTCATCGCCATGTTTATTTACCCAAAACGGCACACACAACACTGCAAGTTTTTCAAACTATGTTTTTTCCCAGTAAAAAGCTTATTTTCTGATTAATGTAATCTGTTCTTTTTGTGTATCAGAATGGATATTTAATAAATTTTAAAGCACATATTATAAAATAATTTAGATATTAAGTAAACGACCACCAAAATCGGCGAGATATCGCGAGACTTGCGAGAGTTGCCTATCCCGTTAGTATATAGGTCCCTGGCACTGTTGATTAAATCTGCCTGACAGCTATATTTTTAAACAAAAAATACCCCAAAAATATAAATAATAAGTATTTCCAAACTGAATCTGGACAAAAATGTTTGTCATTTTTTTAATCAATTTTTCATATAGGTATTGAAGAAAGCAAGACTGTATGAATAAATGGTTAAAAAATCGAACCTCTAACGTATTGTTTAACACCTCCAATAAGAATGTCTTGCCTTACCATGCATTTTGAAATTTTAAATCAATATCATTTTAAAAAAAAATAAATTAATCATTTGCAAAACATCCAGTTCATCACTTCCATATCTCTACTTTGAACCTTGGCCCCCTAAATCTCCAGTCAGGTGCTCTACCAGCTGAGCTATCTGGCCACTGGCAATCAAATCCATTTGATCTCCACTTTCCTCCCTCCTTAAAGGTCTTTGCCCCCAAAGATACCAACCTAGGCTCTTCCCTTGCAGGTCTTTCACCTACCTATCACTTCCGGTGCATGGCACGACACCAAATGTAACAGGAAAGGAGAAAAATGTGATGTACCAGGCCCAGGTTCGAATCCTGGTCTGGTCTGTTACATTTTTTCTCCTATCCCGTTACACAACATTTTGATATTTTGGTTCTAATTTATATGTTGTATTCTTATAATCGTATTTAACTTTCAAGTCTTCAGTCTAAATTTATGAATCATTTTAACCAGTTTGAATCAAATTATGTTTTGATTGTTATGAAATTCTCTTTATTGAAAAAAAGCACTTATAATTCAGTGTTTGCAGGAATGTATAACATTTTAGTCACAAGTATTGATTACCTGTACACACTGCCATATTTTTCATTTATGAAAAAAGTATGAATTCAATATTATATTTAAAGGCTCTTTCACTTGTGGAGGAAGAAACAAGAAGATACAGACCCACCAAAAATTACCTGGAATATTTACCAGCCCCAAATTACAATGCTTTTGAGGTATCAAAATGTTCCTTACTGAAAGTACCAATAAAAAAACACTTTTCTGTAAAATTCATTAGAAATACATGTAATATAATTCCCAGCACACACAATTTTGCAGGCCATGTTCTATTTGTAATATGCTTTGAAATGCATTTATCATTGATTTTGACTTTATTTGTAGACTGAAATAATGAAAAATGAATATGAAAGAATGCAAGCTCGTTTGCCAATGGATATGTTAAGTATGAAAAGGTTTGTATCACTGATTATGTGTGAAGTTCAGCCAAGTGTCCGATTGTTACCCCTTGTTTCATCAGCAGATGAGGGGATTCAGATGACAGTCAAAATGCCAAAAGTTGTGAAATTTTAGTCTTGAATTGGATAATGAAAATGCAAATACATTTATTATAGTGGAAATAATATATTTGTATATATAACATGAAGAGCAGTGTATTTATTGATACAGGTATGAGTTGCCACAGCCTTCTGCTGGTAAGATGACAGATATTTCAGCATGGACAGAATGTGTGGAAAACTCCCAAGCTCAGCTGGAACATCAGGCTCTGAGGTAGGACAGCTCCAGCAATTTCAAACTTAGTGCACAGTATTATAACTGTAAACATGTTAACCCCCCAACCCATCACACCAAACACAGGAGACATGTAGACTGTCAATTTGATTGGCTTTTATATTTATGGAATACCTGTTCTGCAGGTATTAGAATGAACCATTTGACCGTTTTTTTTTTTTCCTTTCAAAGAAATGGGCGTGTCATTATATGACAATCAACATTCTAAAGATAGCTCAAAACATTCCATTCAAATGGAAAATTTTACCACTTCAATGCGCTTCATTGTAGATTTGCTACTCTTTTCTATTTTATGATTTATCATTTAAAGCAAACTGAGTGATTTCAAAAAAATAAAATACAAGAGTAAACCATGTTTTACAGTACCCAGTGTATATTCATTTTTTGTAGAATACTGAATTTGGAGCTGATGTCAGATAATGGCTCAAATGCCTGGAAAGAATACAACACAATTCTGGTTCAGATGATGGAAAGTGCACAAAAACATCTACAAGATCTCAGGTAGGTAAAACATTGACACTTCTGAGATTTATAAAGGACATGTAGCTTTTATAGGACTGTGCACTTCAGCATGTAGTGCTAGTTTTTAAGTATAAAATTTATTTTTGTGGTGTTTCTCAACACTGCTAATATGGATGACATTTAAAAACTTACATGTATGATTCCAAGGCATGTTGTACATTTATTTGAAGATGGAAAAGTTTTTCTCTGAAACAACTTCCTTCAATTGTCAAATGCTTAGTTTTATCATTTATTATCTGACTTCTTATATTGGTTGCATTTCATGAGATTTCAGATACATATTGATACAAGTCTTAGTTTCATTTTTACATCATTACAGAAAACAAATTCAAGAAATAAATTGGAGGAGAAAGAGTGAACAGACGGAGGCTGGAAATAAGTTGAAAGATCTGGAAGAAAGGTCATTATTAGCTCAAATGAGCTTTTCTAATCACCAGTTGTCTGGTGTACATCTGTTTAACTGTCTGTCTGTCTGTCCGTCTCTAAACTTTTCACATTTTTGACTTATTGAAAACTATTGGATGGATTTAAAACCAAAGTTGGCATTAAGCATATGTAGGTAAAGGGGATTTTAATATTCAAATGAAGGATCAAGCCCCTTTCCGAGGCGAGATAATCAAGAAAAAGCAAAAATAAGGGGGTCATTAAAAAAGCCTCTCCTCAAGAAGCACTGGAGCTGAAAAGTTGAACATATATTAAAGCTTCCTGATAGATTTCAACTTGTTCAGAGCATGGACCCCAGGGTTAAGGTGCGACACAATAGGGGATCAAACTTTTACATTGGAATATATTGGTACAAATCTTTAACAATCTTTTTTGCAAGGACAACTGGACAGGAAAATATGAAATTTATTCATTGAATTGTATTGATACAGAAGCTTTCTGGCATAATATAGATTCTAAATTGTTCAAATCATGTGCCCTGGAGGTATGGAAAGATCACAAAAGAGAATTGAAGTTTTATATTTGAACATATGAAAAACATTTTCAAAAATTCTCTCAAGAACCACATAAGAACCTTTAATTTGCTAACATTTCCATGTTTTGTGTATCAGTTTCCCCAAATTATAGACCACAGATTAGAGTTTGTTTAAACTGGAATAAAATTTAACATAATTATGCATGCATGTTTACAGGAAATAAATTTTCTTCTCAATAACTGCAAGGTCAGTCATATTAATATCAAAGCATCTCATGTTGTGTGGATTCAGAGACCCCTTAAAGTTTAGGATGAGGCCATAATACAGGGTTTCAATTTTTCATGGGAATATAAAGGAGGCCCATGGGCCTGTTGTGTTCTTTTTTAATATCTATACAGAGGCAATTAGGAATTAATGGTCATGTAACTCCAACAGTGTCTTTTCATAACAGGGTGTACCGTATATACTCGCCTATAAGTCGTTTTTTTGGGGAGTTAAATTTTGGTCCAAAACTCTAAGTCCGACTTATAGGCGAGTCATAAAATGATTTGTATTTTTCTGGAGGATGAAATCTAGCATTTTATGAACATTTCTGATGATTATCTTTGAACAAAGTCAGAATATATCATATCATTTATGTATTCTAAGACTATGCATAAACACATGATAAAGTACAAATATCACATATTTTAATAACTTTATTTTTATCTTAAGTGTGCATTACTTATTTTTTTTTTAATGATTTAAAATTACATATCAGTGTCATTTCTTAAAATGTTAATTGAAACTTGGTTAAAAAATCAGAGCATTGATTTGAAATTGTCAACCGATCCTAACAAAAAGTTGTACCAACTTATAAGCAGGTCAATGGCAAATCCCTCCAAAATAATCTCAAAAAATACAACCGACTTATAGACGGACTGACTTATAGGCGAGTATATACGGTAATTATTGATTGTTCACAGGAATTTTATTCAAAATCAGATTTTTAACTTCCTTAATGTAAAACTATTAAAAGCAAATTTCTGTCTTGTATTGTACTGTCATTTCTATTTTTAGTTGGGTAGGACTTGTCAGTAAAAACTATGAGATAGAAAGAGCTTGTGTGGAACTGGAGAAAGAAGTGTCAGTCTTGGAACAGAAAAAAGCCAAGGTACAAATAAAACAGTGGGGGTTTTTTATGCTTGGTGTATAGTAAGTTAAGTCATATAATTGTCTGCTTCAGGAAAAGAGTGCATTAAACTCTGTAGTCATGCAGGATAAAATTGTGTAAAACAACTTTTTTGGAGAAATTTTTAAATAAAATTTCTGTCATCTGTTTTCATTAAATTTTTTCTGAGATATTACTACTTTAAAAAAAATAAACATTATTTTTTATATACATGTACTAGGTATATATTTTACAAGCCTAATATTATTTTTCAGAGTAAAAGGTAGCCAAGGAAATTAAAATTCTCATCATCAACACCTTCATAAAAATCCACTCTGAACAATACAGCTTTGTGAACATAGGACAAATCCGATATGAGACTACTACACACAGCAAACTATTGACAGTCATTCCCATACATGTCAATCATCTCTGAATCCCTTGTGAAATGTTTTTATGTATATCTTTGTATAACTAATTTGGAATAAAATACATATTATAGAACATCTGGTGACAACTTGATTTGAGTCATTGATTTTTATCCTCACAAATAATTCTGCTTATAGGATATTTATTCATTTTTCATCCATAAAAATTTCCTCATCATTTTCTTTGTAGATACAACAATTTTCTGTATTAAAACAATTTTACAGTTTTAATATTTGTACAAATAATGGTATGAAAGTTTATTGAAAAGGTAGAACATCATACATTAAACATACATCAAATCTGAATCCGATCCAGGGTCTCTGTATGTCTGAAATCAAAAAAGATAACAGAGTTAAAGTGATTTTAAGAGGAGAGAAAGAAAGCAAAGTGCTTAAACACTATATATTGATAGTAAATATAATCATTGCTAAGACTGTTTTTCTTCTTCAACAACCTCCCCCCCCCCCCCCCCCACACACACACACACACCTTCCCCAAGCTTGGGGATTCATACATGTTTGTAAATTTCCTCTTTATCTGTAAAGCAAATATTAAAGTATTATATCAGAAGTCAAATCTATGATCTTTTATTTACCAGAGACTGACTCAATTTTTCATCAAAATGGAGTCTAGACCACTTCTTTAACACAGCATGAAAATGGGTGATTGCCTACAAAGTAATACAGAACTATCATGAAAATATTAGATACACTTGAAATGGCATTTTTCCTCCAAATTCTATTTAAAAGAAACATTTTGTGCAATATGACAGAGTTATCCCCCTTGTAAATACCTGGAAAGATCCATCATAGTCATTGGCTGGTCCAGGAACTGCCTTATGGCCAGGGCAGGTAAAAATGTGACAGGACATATCCTCAAACTGTCAAAATTACATGACATATAACATCCTCAAACTGTGTAAAATTGCATGTTAGACATCCTCATTCCTCAAACTGTCAAAATTACATGACATATCCTCAAACTGTGTAAAATTACATGATATCCTCGAACTGTGAAAAATTATCTTTAAAGAAATCTTTCTTACTGGTGCATACATGTATCAACATCTAATTTTCTTTTCCTCTGAGAGAAGTTTTTGGACTAATATGAGCCAGAAATCTTATTAATTCATTGGCCTGAATACAGACCTGAATCATCTGGATTAATGAGGACAAAAATGGATCCATAATTTTTGTATCCTTTGGGAATGGCAGGTGTTTTGTCACTAAAATAAAACTTACAATTTCTTTTACTAAATAATAAAAAAAGACAACCTATTTTTCATACATATAATGATAGAAGTACATTCATTTTACAAATCTTAGTCCCACCTGGATCAGTATTGTAGGTATTTTCATAAATAGGCATCACTTCATCATCAAATTCGTCAAGTTGTAAGATTTTCTGTGTTGTCAAAATTACCAATTTTTCCACATTACTGGAAGGTGAAATTAAAATAATACATATTTACCGACAAAAATACATTGTATCTGAGCATTAAATTTTTTTTAGCATCTGCTTCATTTAAGAACCTACCTTTCTTTCAAAAATTATACTTTGGTATAATATAAACACAACATAAATAAGTCATAATCCAAATTAGATAAATTTAATTTCATTGTATTTCTCTTGTAAAATTGCATTCATATGTAATTTCAAGGTAGTAATGGTAAGTTTATAACACATGTGTCTCTTTGAATAATTCTCTAAAAATATAGAAAAATATATAGTTAGCATATTAATTCAAAATTTTATAAATCAAAGCAATATTAATTTTTGTCAATTTTTCTGGTTTGGGGTGTCCAAAGCTGAGGTACTCATGAATATTTAGGAAAAAAGAAGAATCAACAACTTCATGTAATATTAGGTCTATATATTTAAGTCTAATAAAAGTTCTGCACAGACCTTTCCACACAGAGATTTAGAATCTTGTCTGCTACATGATGGCAAACAGAGGCAGGGATCAAGCAGTTGAAAACCAACAAAGTGAACTGTAAAAACAATCATAATTGTAATATATGTATTTGGTACAGTAAATGTTTACAAAATTCATGCATAATCTTGTTATTATTGTAATCAATAATATTTTTTTAAGGTTTGTAGTGAAAAATAATCGGAGCAGAAAATGATTTAAATTTTGAGCTGAACTGACATAATTATCAGAAATAACCTAGCAGACAAAATTCACTGTACAAGAGATCTACATAGATAAGTTACAAGAATGGTGAGGATATTTCTTACCTCTCATATTTATGTGATATATTAAGAGTCTGTTAGTTGACATGAATGTATCAGGAATGCATTGAGGTGACATATCAAAGGATCATATCTAACAATTTGTGCTGGGTTCACTTGTACTGCAAAGACATTACACAACACATACAATGAGATTGCATACTATAAGTATATATGTGTAGTTCAACTTATCCATTAATCTTCTTTATTAGAATATTAGATATTTAGAATACTAGTTTGTGTATTGAAAGCACAAAAACAAGTGTGGGACATTTAAGAGTTTGGTTACATAATTGGTGTTAAAAATATTGCTATTTTAATCCTCTTTAAAATCTGTTAAAAGGCAGTCAGAAAGTGCCCACCTCAGCTCATAAAGTAATCTCCCTTTGCATGTTACAGTATGGACTATCCAATTAACAGAATTCAGAACAGGAAAAGAAATCCTGCAATGAATGCCATTGCAAACCTAAATGATTTTTCCTTGCCCTAAGGCACATTTTCCTCAAAATTTTCATTACAGGAATTATTGATAACTTTTTAAGCTAAATATTACAACAGTTGTTGAAGACAGGCATAATGAAAAAAAAAAACTTTAGCCATTGCATCTTGATCATCCCAAGGTGCGTCTTTTCTACAGATTTTATAAAATCTGTCTACAACATTTTCAGATATCTTTTGGGCAATCAATTGACTATATTAGTCCATTCCAGTAACTTTAAAATTCTGCACAGGAAAGAATGACTTAGGTCTAACTTTTCTTGAGAAAGTGCTGGCCAACACCCAATGAAGGTCAACATTTATCATTTTCATTAGTATTACATATTTTCAGCACATCAAAGCTCAGCATTCCTCATTACCTCCTCATATTTACAATGGAGGATTTGGATAGCCTCTAATTTCCTCTCTGTTGCCTCCTCAGGCTCTGCCCTCCTACAAACGATTTCCACAGATTCCAGACCATGGATCTCTACCGTCTCATACTCCTTACCCATACTCAGGCCAAACAATGCTCGACTGCCAAATAGAAGTGTCAAAATTTAAACTCTGGGCCTAGTGCAAGCAAACAGAATAGATAAGAATCTATTACCTTCAGTTATTGCTATTAGAATCCATTACCATTGCACAGCTCTAACAAGTTTTTTTCTGTTGTGTTTATTATGCCCTCCTTGGAAGAAGGGAGGGCATTATTGCTTTGCTGCTGTCTGTCGGTCAGTCTGTCCGTCTCATACTCCTTACTCATACTCAGGCCAAACAATGCTCGACTGCCAAACAGGTGTGTCAAAATTTAATTCGCAGAGGTTGCACATACTGAAATGAAATTTATCATAAGAATATCTAGGTCAAGTTGTGTTTTGGGTTCGATCGAGTTATGCCCCTTGGACTTAGAAAAATTCCATTTATTTGCAGTTTACGTTCATTTTCTTTGCAGAGGTTGCACATACTGAAATGAAATTTGGTATACAGATTTATCATAAAAATATCTAGGTCAAGTTTTGTTTTGGGTACAATCGAGCAATTTTTGACAAAGTTATGCCCCTTGGACTTAGAAAAATTCCAATTATTGGGTGGGGGGGGGGGGGGGGGGCGCATAGGTGTTTCACAAACATCTCTTGTTGCTTGATTTTTTGGGGGGGGGGGGCAAAGGGAGCAAGTGGACTTGATGGGGAATTAGCTTGGATTTTAGTTTTGGTTTGTTTTTTTTTTTTTGTTTTGTTTCCTAAGATATCCACTGACTTGTATTTAGAAAAGCCATAAATCCTTTGTGAATTCCCATTGACAAAATATTCACAGCTATGAAGGGGCATAACTCTCTTGGAGTTTCAGTGAAATAAAGTGATCTTGTAGCACATTTCACACATATAAATCCCTCCTCTAACAGGGTATCATATAAACAGTGTTTTTGTGGCATCAGTCTAGGATAAGAGTCTCCATAGGTTGAAATATACATAAATAATTAATTACTTATCTTGAACTATACCAATTGCACTCACTATATACCCTGCCAAGTTGCTTCATATACATAATCTTCAGATAGGTATGAAAGATTTGAATTGAATTGTACTCTAAATATTTTTCCCATTCAAAAGATAACCATTTAAAATTACTTTGGTAAGCTGAATAATAAGTCACTGAAAAATTACTCAACTTTTAAACCCAAATTAAGATAAACTGGAACAGATATATTTCCCACAGAAATACCACTTCTTTCAACTTTCTATTCAGCTACATCAAAAGTACAAGAACAGAAAATTCAGGGATTATGGGCCCTTGAAAAATGAGGGAATCCTAATAACAGATACAGTGGAAAAAGTGAATTTATTGAACCATCAGTTTCAGTCAGTTTTTACAAATGAAACAAACACAGATATACCAGACAAAGGTACAAGCCCCCACCCTGACATGCCCCCTATATCTATTAGCAGTACAGGAATTATGAAATTACTGTCAAATATAAACCCACATAAGGCCTGTGGACCAGACAATATAAATGGCAGGGTTTTGAAAGATCTAAAAGAACAAGCCACACCTATCCTTACACTATTATTTTCAAAATCATTAGAAACTGGTGAGATACCTACTGATTGGAAACATGCAAATGTAGCTCCAGCTTTTAAAAAGGGTGAAAAATATAAAGCAGTAAATTATAGGCCAATTTCATTGACTTGCATATGTTGCAAGTTAATGGAACACATAATCACAAGCAACATCATGGCCAATCTAGAAAACAATAACATCTTATATGATTTACAACATGGGTTCAGGAAATCAAGATCATGTGAATCACAATTAATAGATTTTATCCAAGAACTAACATACAAAAACAATAACAACATACAAACTGACTTTATCATAATGGACTTTGCTAAAGCCTTCCATAAGGTTCCCCATCATCGCCTCCTGTACAAGTTAAAATTCTATGGTATAAGACAACAGACATTAAACTGGATTCATGATTTTCTATCAGATAGAACACAAACAGTAGTAATAAATGGCATTTCCTCCACTTCTGTATCTGTCACTTCTGGAGTGCCCCAGGGAACAGTCCTTGGACCTATCCTTTTTCTTATATATATAAATGAATTCCCTGAATATCTCCATCATAGTAAACTAAGGCTCTTTGCTGACAATAGTATCATCTACAAAGAAATAAAAACACCAGAAGACTGTCACAAACTACAATCAGATCTAGATGCAGCTGCACGGTGGGAGTCTGATTGGCTTATGGCTTTCCACCCAGACAAGTGTACTAAACTTACCATCTCTCATAAGAAGCGGACATATTCTCAAAATTACATTCTACATGATCATGTACTTGAGTCAGTAAGCTCAGCCAAGTATTTAGGTGTAACATTACAGTCAAATCTAAAGTGGAACACACATTACGACAATATGCAAATAAATCATTAGGATTCCTTAAACGAAATCTGAAAATTTCAAACACAGAAGTAAAATCTAGAGCCTATCAAGCAATAGTGCACCCTAAACTCGAGTATTGTTGTAGTGTTTGGGATCCACATACGACACTGTATAGACAAAAACTTGAAATGGTTCAGAGAAGGGCGGCTCGCTATGTACATAACAATTACCACAATACCAGTAGCGTTACAGACATGATTAGTACACTACAGCGGCCAACACTAGCTGAGCGACGCCTCAAAACCAGATTAATAATGTTTTACAAGGTAGTTCATTAACTTGTTGCTATGCCCACAGACATACTCATACCTACAGATGCAAGAACCAGACAAAATCACATACAAACATACAGACACTTACAAGCATCAAAAGAAACATACAAATGGTCCTTTTTTCCACAAACTATAATACAATGGAATTTGCTTCCCCAGTCTGTTGTCCAAGCCACTAAAGTAGAAATTTTTAGAGAACAGCTAACCCCAGCTGTCCTCAACAGTATCATGTAAAAAGTAACATTTCTTTTAATCACAAATGTAAATAAAAGCACAGTTTTTTTTTTTCTTTATATTAGTTTGCTTAGGTCACGCATGCGCACCAGCAAGTAATCTTCAGCGCTCTGAAGTTTTGTTGTAAATAGAAGAAGAAGAACTTCAGACATGAAAAGTCACAAATATACAGTATACATTTGCCTAAATACTAAAAAATGCAACTATCATATATTAATGCAGACATACTTTTTAGCTCATCTCGATGAAATCGAGATGAGCTTATGCTATACCCCCAGCGTTGCTGTAGGCGTTAGCATCCTGGCTAAAGTTTTAGGAGCAAGTCCATTCCCAAGTAACTATAAACCCTACCTGGACCAAACTTGCAGGGATGATGCATCTAGGGATGGACACTATCAGACTTGCTTCTGATGCTTGATCTGACTTACATTTTCAATATGAGTAACCAGGTTAAAGTTTTTGAAGCAGGTCCATTCCAAAGTAACTATTAGCTCTACGTGGACCAAACTTGCATGGATGATGCATCTAGGGATGTACTATACCCAACCTGCTTCAGATGTTGGATTTGACCTATATTTCCCAGATGAATGAATTTTAGCCATACATTAACAAAATTAGCATGGATGATGTATCTAGGGATGGGCACTTCCAGACTTGCTTCGGATGCTGAATTTGACCTATATTTTCCAGATGAGTGAATAGGGTAAAGTTTTTGATGTAGCCTCTATAATGGCCTGTTATGACTAAATTTACATGGATGATGCATCTAAGGATGAACACTTGCAGACTAGCATTAGATGCTGAATTTGACCTATATTTTCCAATTCAGTGAACAGGGTAAAGTTTTTGGAGTAGCCCTATAATTTTATGGCCTGTCATAATTAAACTTGCATGGATGATGCATCTAAGGATGGACACTTCCAATCTTGCTTCGGATGTTGGAACTGACCAACATTTTCTTGTTTTATAGTGAACAGGTTAAAGTTTTTTGGATCAGATCCATTTCCAATTAACTATAAGTCCTATTTAAACCAAACTTGCATGGATATTGCTCTTAGAAGATTTGACTTCCTTATAGACAAAATTCATCGAGGTGAGCTTTATAATCTCTGATTACCTATGTTTTCCATGTGGGATAAAATTACCCACGCTATTTACACAGTCACAGATTTTTAGTCAGAACTTGTCCCAGCCTGCTTTTATTAAAATTTAGACAAACATGCCAATCCAAGAAGTCCGCGTAATTTTCTACCCATGCACTGATTAGAAATTGCAATTCTGCTGAATTATAATCGACCCCGTGGAAAAAAAGTATGTTTACAATATCAACATATATTTTCCAGATATCCATTGCTAACATCATTTTAAACATTGAATTATTGGAGCTCAACACAACACATTTACTGTATATAGATGGCAAGCAAGCACTCAGACTCAGGATTTGATCATTGAGCAACCAAGTCTGTTTTCCATTGAATTTTATCTTGCAATTTATTTTTTTCTATTTTTTGAATTTTTGAAATGCCCTATAACGTATACAGTGATTGATTTTAATGGGTTTTATTGAGGTGAATTATTTGAAAATGTTAAAATCTTCACTGAAAGACAAAGAACATAAGAATCTGATTAAAAACAATCATAAGATCCATTAACTCAGGTTAAGTGTGAGCTAAAATTATTCCAAAAATTGAATTTGTAAACCTTCCAGCAGCAGCCATGTCAGTATATCCAAGAAACACCACTTTCTTTAAATGAATTCCTCCTGGAGCAGATTGTGGGGTGAGGAAATATGGAGGTAGGACCTCTCCATCTGGCAGAGATTTAAATCGGTCCCTGGTTCGACCCTCCATCTCCTACAGATATTTTCTCACTTTATCTCAGGTCTCTGTAAAAAATTTGAAAAAAGAATAATATGATATCATTGTTAATCAATTTGTATTTAAAAAATACAAGATATGTTTGTGTGTGCCCCATATGGCATCTCAAGGCCAAAATTAAAGTTTTTCAAATGTAGGTCAAACTCGAAGGTCAAGAGTTCAAAAATGTTGATACCCGAAGAGAGGTCTGGTCAAAAGGAATACACATGTAAAATGTAATAGCCCTAGTACCAACCATTCAGAAAATATTACTAAAGTTGAAGTTTTTCAAAAAGTAGGTCATACTCCAGGGTCAATGCCATGAGGACAAAAACATAATGGTACCAAAAGGAAGGTCTTGCCACAAGTAATGCATAAGGGAAATATGAAAGCCCTAGAGCAACTGTTCAAAAGTTATAGGCAAGGATAAATTTTTAAAAAATGTAGGTCAAATTCCAAGGTCAACAGCATGAAGTCAAAAATGCTGGTAATCAAAGAAAGGTCTTGTCACAAGGAATACGGTATTTATGTGATATATGAAAGTCCTAGCACCCACCATTCAAAAGTTATAGCCAAGGTTAAAATCAAAGTAGGTCAAACTCAAGGTCAAGGTGGAAAAGTAAAAATTGTTGGTACCCAAAGAAAGGCCTGGACAATGGAATATGCATGTGAAATAAAAAAAAATCCCTAGCTTCAACAGTTCAAAAGTAATGGCCAAGGTTAAAGTAGGTAAGTTTTTAAAAAAATTTGTGGACTAACAGACACATGGATGGACAGACCAAAAACTATATGCCCCTGAATCTTTGATTATAGGTGTGGGTATCAGATGGGTTCGATTGCGGGTGGCCACATAGCTCAAATTTATTTTCATGTAAAAAGGTATCTGTCATCAATAATCTTAGTAAATTCATTGATGTAAGTTAATAAGAGAGTTACCTTTCCAGGTTATAATGTATGTACTGGACACTCAACATGCTCATGCAACATGTATTTTGTTTGATATTGTTGTTCTATTTTCTCTAAGTTGTTTTACACAATGTGAACATAAATTGAATTGAAATTGGTAGAGCACCTGATTGGAGATTCAGGGGGCCCGGGTTCAAATTCTGGTCTGGTCCGTCACATTTTTCTCCTCTCTCCTTACACACAGGCATAAAAAAATATTTTATAAATAATTACGTTACATGAAATAAGTTTATTTAGGAATTTCATGTAATTCCTCAATTAGTATGAATTTTCAAACCCTGAAATGTTTAATTCTTTAATTTACACATACCCAATAAAACTTTTAAAATAAGTACGTGCCACAAATATTCAGTGACAACTATATAATACTTGTCTATAGGTAGATATTTTATATTTTTTTTCTTCTTAGGCCAAACAAAAAAATATGTGTGGTTCCGGTTACACTTCCAAAAAAATTAGGGTAGGTAGGTAGGGAATTTTTTTTTTTTTTTTTTTTTTTTTTTTTTTTTTTTTTTTTTAACAAAATGATTTTCTTAATTTTTCTAAATAATAGCCTACCTATCACTGCTTTGCAAATGGCATTTAGATGTGATGTGATAATATACTAGTCAATATTGGTAGGGGACACCTACATGCTAGCTCGCTTTGGACTTAATACTATTAAACACTTGCACTATGTTTTGCAAGGAGGCCGTCATTATTGAAACTAAAACTTAAACCGGAGCCATTGATGGAAATGGGGGAAAATTCCGGAAAAAATATGAAAATTACCCAAAAAAAGTTTAGGGTCGGGAGATATAAAATAGGAAAGATCGGGTAACCGGAACCACACATATTTTTTTATTTGGCCTTATCTTCAAAAAAGTTATTTTCTGGTAATTATTAGTAGTTATAAGAATGGCTTATGTTTAAAAAATGCAGTAAAAAGTCTATAACAAGAGGCCCATGGGACACATCACTCACCTGAGCACTGTGGCTAGGAAAAAAGCAAAAATCAGAGTTCAGAATTGAAAAGATTAAATGCATAAGTGGACCTACCCCTAAAAGGGGGGAGGGGTATGATTTGAACAAAATTGAATCTACACTAACTAAGGATGCTTACATATTTCTTTGACTTACTGTGGCTTATCCCCAGGGGGGTCATGATTTGAACAAACATGAATCATCACTACCTTAGGCTACTTCCAAATAGTTAATAACCATTCATGGCTTTGCTGTTCTTGAGAATTTTTTTTTTTAAATTCCTTTGTATTCCTATGTATAACTTTGATCATCAATTATGGCCCCATCCTAACCCCAGGGGGTCATGATTTGAACAAACATGAATCTTCACTACCTTAGGATACTTCCAAATAATTTAAATAACCAATCATGGCTTTGATGTTCTTGAGAAAAAGATTTTTCTTATATATTCCCATATAAAACTTTGACCGTCCATTGTGGCCCTGCCCTTACCCCAGGGGTCATGATTCATATGTGATAGGGTGATTTATTTCATATATTAATTACATATTTCAGGATTAAATTAATTCAGTTAAATTGTCATATTTATTTCTTTACAGCATTTCATTTATTGAATAAATCCACATGGAATTATTTACATCAATCTGTGTTTATTGAGTTATTTATAGATGTATGACATCACAGTGGTCATTTAAACTCCTGTCCCTTTTCTATATATATCTTGTGTAGTGTCCAGGCCAACTTGGATTTCATTGGTTGGTTAGTTTCCCTCTCTTCTGGTTTTTACTTAGTTAATTACTTTTGTTTGAGATCTTGGTCTGACCAGACATATTGGCCTTTTGATATTTTATGACTTAATTATGACAATGACCAAGACAGGACAGAATGCAAGTTTACTTTTACTAATTTCATTATCTCTATATAATTGTTTATCTGCTAGAGTTCCAAATAACAATATTCTAATATAAAGTATGAAAGTTCAGTTTGTGTGATTATTTTATGACTTTGTAAATATTCAGAGTAATAAGTATATTTTATATCTGTGAGAATAAGTGTGTAATATAGTAAAGTTATATTTATATTATTCATACACAGATCACTGAATAGAGTACAGCTGTGTTCAGCTTTATATATATTTGGAGTTATGGCTCTATATCACATATAGGTATGATGTATATATATTTTGAATATTGTCTATATAATTATATTATTCTGGAAGAGTTCTGTATAATTTGATCTCATTGTTTTATCTATATATTCCAGTGTTTATACTTTGTACATATTATTGATTAAGAAAGATAACTCTTAATGTTTTATCTATGAGCACAATTAAAGGGAAATAACTCTTCATTTGACCATGCTATCTGGCAAGTGATCTACATGTATATTTTGTTATAAAATATTTATGATTGTTTATATATATTTCAGAGCTGTGATACTACTGATAGTACTGATTATACTGATAGTGAATATATTTATCAACAACGACAGCATGGTGTTTGTCATTATTTTCATACAAAAGAACCCCATTTCACATACAAACTTGAATCTACAGTAACACTATAGTCCACATGAGGATGCTTCAATATAAATATGACCAAACATGGCTTTGCTGTTCTTGAGAAGATTTTTAAAGATTTTTCCTATATATATTCCTATGTAAAACTTCAACTGTGGTCCAACCTACCCCCAGGGGTCATGATTTGAACAAACATGAATCTACACTACCTCAGGATGCTTCCATATAAATATGACCAATCATGGCTTTGCTGTTCTTGAGAAAAAAAGATTTTTCCTACATACTCCTATGTAAAACTTTGATTGTCCATTGTGCCCCCCCTACCCCCCCCCCCCCCCCCCAGGGTCATGATTTGAACAATCTTGAATCTACGCTACCTGAGGATGATTGCATGACTCCAAATGAGTTTCATCTTTCCTGGCCCAGTGGTTCTTGAGAAGATTTTTTTTTTATTAAAAGATGCCATTATAACTTTTTTACTAATTTGTAATTATCTCCCCTTGGAAGAGGGCGTGGTCCTTCATTTGAGCAAATTTGAATCCCCTTCACCCAATGATACTCTGTGCAAAGTTTGGTTGAAGTTGGCCCAGTGGTTCTGGAGAAGAAGATGAAATTGTGAAAAGTTAACAACGACAGACAACAAACAAATTACGATCAGAAAAGCTCAATCGAACCTTTCACTCAGGTGAGCTAAATATGAAAATGCGAGACGGGGGTTGAAACCCACCCTACCACCCACATCCTCGAATAGATCCGCCTATGATGTAGAAACACACTGAAAATCTTGTTATGTGTGTCACATACATCCTTATAAAGAATGTTTGCTTTCCATTTAAGCATAAACAGAAACATATTCAGTGCCAGTCATTTTTCCTGAAACATGATACATAAAATAAATATTTTCTTACTTTCTTTGGTCTCTGTTTTCATATTGTGACATATTCATGCATAAATGGGTTAGAAACATGAAAGTTCAAGGTCATTCATTCCCATAATTTTGATTGGATGACAAGGACAAGCCCACCTTTGCTGTGTATGAATATCAAGTTCAAAATAATTGAAATTTGGATAAAAATTTGAATTCTTCTGAACAAAAAAATTTATAAGAGTAAAACAAACTATGAAAAAAATAGGTGGGATTTAAGTAACGAGAAAAGTACTCAAACATATTTATTTCTACTTATTGTAGGATTTACTTTTTGTAGAGGTTTCACCAATAAGACGAGTGAACAGGCAGTACTTGTGCCGAAGACTACAGTGTGCAGAATTGCAGGATAAAATGAGGAGTATGCGATATTTGCAGAATTTTTTGCGACCCTCCCTGCGGTTTGTATGTTTATACGACTTTCTGGGGAAGATTATTTATATTGAATTTGCTGTTATATAGACGGGCTTGACAATTTCGTCTTGAACATGAAGACAGGAGTAAGTAACCTTCTCTGGTGTTTATGTTCAAGGACGTGTGTAGATTGTGCAAAATTCAGTCATTCTCATTTTTTGTATGTTTCTACTTGTTCTTCCTATACAATATTCATAATATTGGTCACGCACGTCGAATATGTACATGTACTGGCGTTTGACACGCTTTCTGCTGGACAGAAGAGTTATGCCCCTTGAAATTCTCAACCTGGGTGCTTGTACATGTGATGTAATTTCATATTAAATGGATTTTCTCCCCATTAGGTAACATATATTTTAAAGATAATCACAAAATGCAAAAACAGAGTGGACTGTTTGACATGCATATTACTTTTCCATTTGTCATTAATTTGATACCATGATTTAATAAACGATATTTCTGATGTCAGATATGGTCAAATTGAGCAGCCTAAAAAACAGCAGTTTCAATTTTTCAAAGATTGTTTGCATCCTGTGTAGATTTTTATGAAGAACTGACTGTATGCCCCTTATTAATAATGTTGTAATTAGGAGAATACATATGGTTACCAGGGATTAATATAGGGCATATTTACCACCGATATTCGGTATTTTCCCCCAAGAGAAAATTTCCCCTGAATATCCAATTTTCCCCTTTTGATGAGTAAAAAGTTCCCCTTACAATAGTAAAAAGCTCAATTTTTTTTTTTTTTTTTTTGCTTCATGAAAATTGGATATAAAGTAAAAATTTTCATCAGATGTTAAATATGGTTTTACTATTTTATGCACTCTAAGTGGTCGTTAAAATGCTGAAATTCAATTGTGCCTGCCAGCAGGCCTTGCCCTGCACCCATTGGGGGTCTGGAGTGGCCCCCAGACCCCTGGCTGATTTTCCCAATTTCTCCAAAAAGGGTAGTTTTCCCAAAGCCTAGATCAATCCCTAGTTACCTGGACTGTTACACATGACAGAATTTGTTTAGTGAAGTTACAGCCTAGCTATCAAAATATAGGGTTAAACTTATAACCTCCAGGAGAAACCCTGATGGAAACAGAAGAAGCAGTAGCTTACTCAGCCATATGATACTTTTAGGCCGTCAACTTTCAGCTCTGTTTACATTTCGTTTTGGGGTTTGTTTTCGTATACTTGGTCTTGTCTATCACAGGCAAGAATGTATAAAATTGGTACACAGGGCATGTGAAGTAAGCCTGTATATATGTTGTAGTGTTAAGTTACTGTGCAAGATTTTTTAATGTACTTCATTTAGTGATGTTAAGGACACCACATACAGAGTTTTATTGTTCTAATGAATATTACAATCTGATTCTTGCTACAAATATACCAAGTGCTTGATATAGTAAATGAAATACTTTCAATTGAATCAAAATTTCAAGAATCAATTGGATTATGATACAAATGATTAACAAGTTACAAACATGATAAATGTATTATCTACCACTTGATACGTCCAGAGTAACTGCTCATTTGAGATTTCGTACAAGACCAAAGCTTCAAGTATATTCTAAATACCAGTATATTATTTTAATTGAGGCATGTGTTTTGAAGGGATGCCCTTCATTTCAATGCTATTGTTTTACACCGAGAGCTCATATAGTTAGTAATAATGTCTCCTTTACATCCCAATAACAACACTTGTCACTTTTATAGGTGATTTTTTTATTTGAAGAGAGAAGAAATGAACAAATCACCTCACCCCCTCCCAACTCCCCTTTTTTAGCTCACCTCGATGAAGTCGAGATGAGCTTATGCTATACCCCCGGCATCGGCGTTTGCGTCGGCGTCCCGGTTAAAGTTTTAGGAGCAAGTCACTACCACACTTGCTTCGGGTGCTGGATCTGACCTAGATTTTCCAGATGAGTGACCAGGTTAAAGTTTTTGGAGCAGGTCTATTCCCAAGCAACTATAAGCCCTACCTGGACCAAACTTGCATGGATGATACATCCAGGGATGGACACTACCACACTTGCTTCAGATGCTGGATCTGACCTAGATTTTCCAGATGAGTGACCAGGTTAAAGTTTTTAGAGTAGGTCCATTCCCAAGTAACTATAAGCCCTACCTGGACCAAACTTGCATGGATGATACATCCAGGGATGGACACTACCACACTTGCTTCAGATGCTGGATCTGACCTAGATTTTCCAGATGAGTGACCAGGTTAAAGTTTTTAGAGTAGGTCCATTCCCAAGTAACTATAAGCCCTACCTGGACCAAACTTACATGGATGATGCATCTAGGAATGGACACTACCACACTTGCTTCGAATGCTGGATCTGACCTAGATTTTCCAGATGAGTGACCAGGTTAATGTTTTTGGAGCAGGTCTATTCCCAAGCAACTATAAGCCCTACCTGGACCAAACTTGCATGGATGATGCATCTAGGGATGGACACTACCACACTTGCTTCGGATGCTGGATCTGACCTAGATTTTCCAGATGAGTGACCAGGATAAAGTTTTTGGAGCAGGTCCATTCCCAAGTAACTATAAGCCCTACCTGGACCAATCTTACATGGATGATGCATCTAGGGATTGACACTACCACACTTGCTTCAGATGCTGGAACTGACCTAGATTTTCCAGATGAGTGAATTTTAGCCATATTTTAATCAAATTAGCATGGATGATGTATCTTAGGATGGACACTTTCAGACTTGTTTTGGATTCTGAATCTGACCTACATTTTCCAGATGAGTGACCAGGGTAATGTTTTTGGAGTAGCTATATAATATTATGGCAGGTTATGATTAAACTTGCATGGATGTTGCATCTAAGGATGAAAACTTCCAGACTTGCTTTGGATGTTGGAACTGACCAAAATTTTCTTGATTAGTAAACAAGTTAAAAGTTTTTTGAGCAGGTCTCTGTGCGGATTACTTTCCAAATTACTATAAGTCCTTCTTAAACCAAACTTGTATGGATATTGATCTTGGGATGAACACTAACTAGAAAAAATATGATGTGAGATTCTCCTTACTTATAGATAACCTTCGTCGAGGTGAGCTTCGTAATTTTTGATTACCTATGTTTTTCACTTGTCAGTCATTCAGGGCTTTTTTGATACTTGGCAAAGAATTGTTCGAGTTCTTAGTACTGAATTTTGACATAATCCCAATTTTTGTAAGACTAAAATTAAACCTTACATGCCAAGTTTTTAATAAAGTTATTTTTTCTACTGTAGATTTCTGCAGGTGAGGTGTGCAAGCTCTGCGAAAAACTATGACTTCAAAACATATGAAGCTGCTAATGAACCCATGTATGATTACGGACCAGACTCAAAGGAAAGAAAGCAGCTGCAGGAAGTCCTAGATAACTGGAAAAATAAGACAGAAGATATTCCTATTGTAATAGGTGATGAAGAGTTTAGAACAAAGGATGTGCGGTATCAAGTTATGGTAATGTCTTAACCCTTTTGATAGATGTTGACCTGCATCTCTCAAGTTATTTTAGCACATATAATATGCAGTTATTCTTATCAATAACATGAAATGTGAAAAAAATTACATGAAGTGCCTTTTTTCTTTGTTTTAGCCATTTGATCATCAGAAGAAAGCAGCCAAATTTTATTATGCAACCCCAGTAAGTAATATCTGATATAAATTCATGTTTTTAGAATCATATCTTGAAAAAAAAGGACATAAACAGTTGAAATTTGGCATCTCAAACATCAATATTTATTGAATGATTTTAGAGATATGTTGGAGTGAGTCAATCCACGTAGTACCAGTCTTATAATGTTTCAACCTCAATATCTCCCTGTAATATCTTAAAGATCTCTGACAGTCCTGCCATGTTCAAAGTATTGAAATTAAAATTTTTTGCCTTTTATACATGCAGTGTGATGAACATCATGGTCTCTTCTGTTCATATTTTAATCAGGATATTATCCAAAAGGCCATTGACAATAGTTTAAAGGCCAGAAAACAATGGGTGAAAACTCCCGTAGAAAAGAGAGCTGAGATCTTCATGACTGCAGCAGAGATGATTAGTAAAGAGAAGAGGTTTGATATCATGGCAACCACAATGATTGGCCAGGTGATAATAAAAACATAGTCTATATTGATCTTTCTGTAATTATATCCTGAAATTAACTTTTTAGGTCACCTGAGTAAACTCAGGTGACCTATTGCTATCTGTTTTCGTCCGTCGTCCTACGTCGTTCGTCGGTCGTAAACTTTTGAACATTTTTAGCTTCTTCTCTGGAACCGCTCAACCAATTTCAACCAAATTTGGCATATAGTATCTATGGGTGAAGGGGAACAAAAATTGTGAATTTCATGGTCCCTGCCCCCCTGGGGCCTGAGGGGTGGGGCTAAAACCACCAAAATTAATGCAATCTTTAAAAATCTTCTTCTTTACTCCTGGACATCAAGCAGTCAAACTGTTGGCATCATTGTAATGAGCATTGAGCCCTCTACCAAAATTGTGAAATTCATGGCTCCAGGGTCAGGGGTTCTGGTGCTAGGGCGGGGCTATATAGATCATATAGTGAAAGTGCATTATTTCTTTGAAAATCTTCTTCTCTGCTCCTGGGTATTAAATAAGGTAACTAAGTATATAGTTATGATGAGTAAGAGTGCCTCTTCCAAAATTGTGAAATTCATGACCCCAGGATCTGGGATTCTGGTGTTAGGGCGGGGCTCTATTGATTATATAGTGAAAATGCATTAATTCTTTGAAAATCTTCTTCTCTGATCCTGGGTATTAACTAAACTAACTAAGTATATAGTTATGATGAGTAAGAGTGCCTCTTCTAAAATTGTGAAATTCATGGCCCCAGGGGCAGGGGTTCTGGTGTAAGGGCGGGGCTCTATTGATTATATAGTGAAAATGCATTAATTCATTGAAAATCTTCTTCTCTGCTACTGGGTATTAAATTCAGTAACTAAGAACATAGTTAGGATGAACAAGAGTGCCTCTTCCAAAACTGTGAATTTCATGGCCCCTGGATCAGGGGTTCTGGTGTTAGGGCGGGGCTCTATTGATTATATAGTGAAAATGCATTAATTCTTTGAAAATCTTCTTCTCTGCTCCTGGGTATTAAATTCAGTAACTAAGTACATAGTTATGATGAGCAAGAGTGCCTCTTCCAAAATTGTGAATTTCATGGCCCCAGGGGCAGGGGTTCTGGTGTTAGGGCGGGGCTCTATCGACTATATAGTGAAAATGCATTAATTCTTTGAAAATCTTCTCCTCTGCTCCTGGGCATTAAGGTGATAAACTAAGTACATAGTTATGATGAGGAGGTGGGCCTCTTCCAGAATTGTGAAAGCCATGGCCCCTGGGTCAGGGGTTCTGGTGTTAGGGCAGGGCTCTATTGATTATATAGTGAAAATGCTTTAATTCTTTGAAAATCTTCTTCTCTGCTACTGGAGACTATTTAAACAAACTAAGTGCATGGTTATGATGCATAAGGATGCCTTTTCCAAAATTGTGAATTTCATGGCCCCAGGGTCAGGGGTTCTGGTGTTAGGGCGGGGCTCTATTGATTATATAGTGAAAATGCATTAATTCTTTGAAAATCTTCTCTGCTACTGGAGATTATTTAAACAAACTAAGTGCATGATTATGATAGACAAGGATGCCTCTTCCAAAATTTTTAAATATATCGCCTCAGTTTTTGGGGTTCTTGAGGAGGGGGGGGGGGGGGCTCTATTGATTATATAGTGAAAAAGCATTAATTCTATTAATTAATCATTAATTAATCCTGTCGGCTCCTTAATGTTGAGCTGATAAATAAATTGCTTAGCTACGATGAAAATGGGAGCTTCGAACAGAATTTTTAAATCTTGTGGTCCTAGGGTCAGGGGTTCTGGCATAACGAGGGGGGGGGGGGGGCTTTTGATAATATAGTGGAAAAGTGTTAATTCTTTGAAGTCCATAGTAATGATGATGAGGGTAACTCTTTCAAATTTGTAAATTTCTTGACCTTTGGTCTTGGGTTCTGGTGTTAGGGTAAGGCTTTGTTGAATCTGTAGTGAAAATGCATTGTACCTGTGAAATTCTTCTCTGCTTCTGGGCATATCGGAAGCAAACTGAGTAAAAGTTTAAATGATATGAGTAAGCGTATTTCTACCAGATTTTTAAACATCTGGACCATTTGTCTAAGCATTCTGGTCCTGGGCAGGGCTCTATTAATTTGTATTCTACTGAGAGAAGTTATTCCCCCTTTCCATTCACCTTCGATAATTAATCACTGTAAATAATGGATTTGAAAGGTTAATAGAATAAGATAATTATGCAAGAATGTTTATCGTATAATTAAAAAAGTACTTTCTTAGTTTTAATAATCAGGTAGACCTGTAAGTAATAGATAAATAAAAATGAGACAAAAATAACTTATCTTATTAAAAGTTCTTCAAAGACCATAAGAGAGGTCAATGGTAGAGATCTTAATATGGGTTTAAAAATAGTACAGAAGCACTAATAGTTTGTTAATAATCTGCATGGTGATAGTGTTAAGTGGGGGACAGATTAGAACTCAATTTCTGAGTTGATAGTGAATACTAGACTAATTATTTTGTTGATCCTGATCTTCCTACTTCTCTTGTTTTTGTTCCTCTGCTCTGCCTCTGGGTATTAAGTAATCAAAGTAAGCATGCTAACTGTATAGTTATGATGAGCAATAGTGCCTCTTTCAAAATTGTGAGTTACATGGCCTCTGGTGCAAAATACAAACCAAATTCAATTGTTGGAAAGTTGTTACGTGATACTCAGGTGACCTATAAGGCCCGTGGGCCTCTTGTTTATATTGTTATTCATTCTAAGTTAGAGAATATTAATGGTAAACAACCCATTCAAACAGGGAAAAACAAGGAAGATGAGGTTGATGCTGGCAATGTCAGATTCAAAATATTCTGCACTGTATTATAATTATACCAGGATTTTTAAGTGGTATAATGAAATTTATTTCAATTTCAAAAATATGTAATGATTTTTTTTTTCAAGATTACCTTATAATTTGTGTATGCAAACTGCATGTATTTTCTTTATTTTCATTGAACAGGCCAAGAACATATGGCAGGCAGAGATAGATGCAGCAGCTGAGCTTATTGATTTCCTGAGGTTTAACTGTCAGTTTGCCAGAGTAAGCAGCTGAATTTAGCATTTTAATTTAAAAATGGAATCAGAAAATAATTTTTAAAAACCATTTTTGTATTGAAAAAGTTTTTCATTTTTTGCTGCTTGTTTTCCTTCAGGATATGACTTCGTATCAGCCATTGAGCCCTGAAATAAATGTTGTCCAAAATTGTGCTGTCTATAGAGGTTGTGAGGTAACATTCTTAATCAAGTTAATGACTTCTTCATGCATGAGTTTGTGACTAAAAGCTATTGCCAGGGCTCGACATTAACGCTTGTCCGCTTGTCCGGCACCAGTGAAAAAAAAATACGGACAAGTGAATATTGCTGGGCACTTGTCCGATTGGACAAGTGCATTTTTATGTAAAGAAGACTCTGAATATTTAAAAGAACGACTGTTAAAAGTTTACCGGTACTTTAAGACGGAAATAGTACATAAAAACCGAACTTCGATCCCGATATAGATCGCTACGTAATTGAGTACACTCGATCGGGATTGAAGTTCACTAATTGCATACTACTGCAAAGGCATGGAACTGATGAAGTTCGGTTTCTGTTTTATGTTGACAGCATTTATGTTGTCAGGACAGAAAGTCTAGATAAAATTTTGTTATATGTGTTCATTGTATTTGTAAATATCATCATGCACATGTAATGTACTAGTACTTTATTTTTAGTTTTTCAGTTAACAGTATTAGATCTTTATTGAAAATTTTTCGGACAAGTGAAGTTGAAGTTCGGACAAGTAAATGTCTTGGTCACTTGTCCGAATGGACAAGTAGGAAAAAAAGTTAATGTCGAGCCCTGATTGCCATCACATTTTGAATCCTTTGTATGTCTTATGGTAGAGATAGATTTAAGAAATAATTACTGCAAAATATTTTTGCTGCAATCCTTTGAAATTGGACTATAAAGAAGAACTTGGTTTGAAATGACTTTGTCAAAAGTCTGGGAAGAATTTATACTACATTTCTTTTTTTACACAGGGTTTCTGGGCAGCCATCACACCCTTCAACTTTACAGCCATAGGTGGTCATCTTTGTTCTGCTCCTGCTTTGATGGTAAGTCAAATCTGTCATTTGTTGTAATCTGTCAAATAGCCAACACAAGCAACAAATACATGTACTTATTTTCTCCGTGGATTTCTGTAATGAATCAACGTTAACAGATTTATATCTTTTTGTTGACTGATTTCAGTGTTATCATATTGCAGATATTTTTCATTATTTCTAATTTTGGCAGAATTTTATACATTATGTCATGTATTTTGAAACTCAGAATGCTTCTAACACACAGTGATTTAGATTTCTATTTTCAATTTAATTAATGTCATGTAACAGGTATGTGCAGTGAAACTTAGAACTTTTCTCAGGGTATATTATAATTTATTCAGTGGAGTGAGTTTATAGATTAGATGAATAGAAACAATAGAACATAACAGAATCAATGGAACATACCCCAGATAATGGAAATCTTCAGTAACATGACTATCTTAAAATAAGTTTGGTCAGATCAACAACAGAACAAAGAATACTAAAATTTTGGTTGGAAAACTCTTAAGCCCAATGAGAACTTCCAATCAAACTAAACATTTCCAATTCAATAAGCAATAAAAACCAAAATAACAAAGGTCCACTTCAAAACACATAACCAGTGCCCTTAGGTATTGTAATATGGTTTGTGGGTTCTAACCACGGATAATTTCATAACATTGGCTGACATTTAATATGATTTTAGATTAATTTAAAAAGTCACTATACTTTGATTAGAAACAATTTGTTTATATAAAATTATAATAGTTTCTTTTGTCCTGTTGTTTTTAGGTCACCTGAGTTTACTCAGGTGACCTATTGCTATCTGTTTTCGTCTGTCAGTGTGTGTCGTCCATTAACATTTGAACATTTTCAGCTTTTTCTCTGGAACCACTGAACCAATTTCAATCAAATTTTGCATATAGCATCTATGGGTGAAGGGGAGTAAAAATTAAGAAATTCATGACCCCTACCCCCCTGGGGCCTGAGAGGTGGGGCTAAAACCACTAAAATTAATGCAATCTTTAAAAATCTTCTTCTTTATTCCTGGACCTCAAGCAGTCAAACTGTTGGCATGATTGTAATAAGCATTGAGCCCTCTACCAAAATTGTGAAATTTATGGCCCCAGGGTCAGGGGTTCTGGTGCTAAGGTGGGGCTGTGTTGAATATATAGTGAAAATGCATTATTTCTTAAAAAAATTTCTCTGCTCCTGGGTATTTAGCAAACAAACAATATACATAGTTATGATGAGGAAATGTGCTTCTTCTAAAATTGTGAATTTCATGGCCCCAGGGTCAGAGGTTCTGGTGTTAGGGCAGGGCTCTTTTGAAAATATATATATATATATATATATATATATATATATATATATATATATATATATATATATATATATATATATATATATATATATATATATTGAAAATGCATTATTTCTTTAAAAATCTTCTTCTCTAATCCAGGCCAAACAAACTGAATTCATAGTTATGATGAGTAAGGGTGCCTCTTCGTATATTGTGAATTTCATGGCCCCTGGGTCAGGGGTTCTGATGTTAGGACAGGGTTCTAATGATTACGTAGTAAAAATGCAATAATTCTTTGACAATCTTCTTTTTTCCTGGGTATTAAGCCAATGAACTGAGTATAGTAATGATGAGTAAGGGTGCCTCTTCCAAAATTGTGAAATTCATGGCCCCAGGGTCAGCGGTTCTGGTGTTAGGGCAGGGCTCTGTTGAATATATAGTGAAAATGCATTATTTCTTAAATTCTTTAAAAATCTTCTACTTTGATCTGGGGTATTTAGCAGACAAAGTGAATGCACATAGTTATGATGAGTAAGGGTGCTTCTTCCAAAATTGTGAATTTTATGACCCCAGTTTTAGGGTTTTCTGGTGTTGGGGCAGGGCTCTAATGATTACATTGTAAAAGCAATAATTCTTTGAAAATCTTCTCCTTTTCTCCTGGGTATTAAGCTGATGAGCAAAGAGTATAGTTATGATGAGTAAGGGTGCCTCTTCCAAAATTGTGAATTTTATGTCCCCCTGGGTCAAGGTTCTGGTGTTAGGGCAGGGCTTAAGGCAAAGTTGATACATGATACTCAGGTGACCTGTAAGGCCTATGGGCCTCTTGTTATCTCACCAAGTCCCCAGACCATAGTCTGTGTTTAAGCCATTGCTCCCAAACTGCTTATGTCTTAACCAAATCCCCAGACCATAGTCTGTGTTTGAGCCACTGCTCCCAGACTGCTAATGTCTTAGCCTAGTCCCCAGACCATAGTCTGAAACCTAAGGTTTAAAACACCCATTTAGACTTGCTATAAATTGTCTTTATTTTCTCAAGCTCAGGGAACATAAGAGTTCAGTATGATTGGTCTGCAATTAAATGTCCCTACCTAGCTTTCTAGTTTTCACCTCCTCACAGATACTGCTTTTTGTCAACTGAACATTGTGTATGAGAGCATCTGTTTTATATACTGTTTGCGATTTGTCTCATGTACGTCATAGTCTCTCAAATGCTTGGGAAATCAGATACATCAAGAGGATAGTATTTGATTGACAAGATCTACTTATCCCATTGATTTCCATTACAGTAAATATATATATATATATATATTAGGGCTGGGACGATATATCGAGATATCGATAATATCGATTCAATGTGCGGATGATACGCATATCGATACGTATGAAGAAATATCGCCCAGAAATTCTGACATGTTTTTTTCTTTGTTTACTTAACATATTGGGTTAAATATGTAAAATAAATATGCAAAATATAAATATGAATATGAAATACCTAATAATAAACACCACTTGTGTAAAATAATTTTGTTTTACAACAGATATACAACTTCTTTGAATAAATTATTCTTATTTGTGAAGAAATGTTTTGTTCATTTCAATACAAAAAAACATTTTATAATAAATTCAACATATCGTGATACATATCGTATCGTGGCTCAAATATCGTGATATGTATCGATATAGAAAATGTTGTATCCTCCCAGCCCTAATATATATAAAGTATGTGCATTTAAGGGAAAACCAAGGGTTGGATCTAAGTTTTGAATAACAGAATCAAAAAAGAGTTTTAAATACATGTATATATTCTGGCAAATTGCTTAACTTTATTATTTATAAATGAAATCCAACACTATTACAGTCGTATAAAAACTATTGACAGGGTAATGTTTGCCTGTGGAAGCCTTCTGACACTGCTATGCTGTCAAACTACACAGTGTACAAAATCTACAGGGAAGCAGGCCTTCCACCTGGTGTTATTAACTTTGTACCAGCAGACGGACCCGTGTTTGGTGATGTCATCACAAAATCTCCTCATTTAGCAGGTGTCAATTTCACTGGCAGTGTTAGGTATAACAAAGTATTTTTTTCAAAGTGTTTAGCAGTTTGTTTCTTTTACATGTTTTTCTTCTTTGTTTGGATCTCTTGTTTAATGTTTTTAAAAGACTTTTCATTTTTATTTTTGTAGAACATTTAAAACTTTATGGAAATCAGTTGCCCAGAACTTAAACAGTTTCGTCTCATACCCGAAATTGATCGGAGGTAAATACTAGTAAAATTGTTTTTGAAAGATTGCAGTACAAATAAGTAGAGCTACAGTCTCATCAGAAACTTCTGGTATTTATTTCAGAATGTGGAGGAAAAAATTTCCATTTCATCCACAAATCGGCAGATGTTACATCAGTAGTTGTTGGTTCGATTAGGTCAGCATTTGAATATGGAGGACAGAAATGTTCAGCATGCTCGCGGATGTACATTCCACAGTCCATGTGGCCAGAGGTGAAGCAGAAAATGCTGGACATCCACAAACAAATTAAACTGGGGTCAGCTTTAGACAACACAGTCTTCCTATCAGCAGTTATTGATGACAAGGTTGGTACCCAGTTGTCTCTGACAATGTTTTTTGAACATGTATTTCCATTTGAAATCTTCGTTAAATTTTTAATTTCCTGTTTATAGGGATGTCAAAATATTTATTTTCTTTAGTCGAATATTCGATTGCATTATTCGAACAATAGTCGAATATATTCGAAACTTTTTTGGAAACTAAAATTTTATTTCAAACTTCACCTGGTACATCACATATTTAATCTCAAATCCCCCTTTTTTAAATTGATTAAAAAGTTACATCAAATGTTACACACAGATGTTCACATGGACTTAAAATGTGGATAGTGTGTTTATATTTACTTAATAAAGACAGCTAATTTCTCCAAAATGTAGGATTTCACCGTCAATCATGTTCATGAATTGGTCTGTAAAGTCGGTTTTTTAGGAAGCATAAAAAATGACTGTGTGATATATTTTTAGGTCACCTGAGTCACTCAGGTGACCAATTGCTATCTGTTTTCGTCATTCGTCGTCAATCGGTTGTAAACTTTTGAACATTTTAAGCTTCTTCTCTGGAACCACTGAACCAATTTCAACCAATTTTGGCATATAGCATCTATGGGTGAAGGGGAGTAAAAATTTTGAAATTCATGGCCCCTGCCCCCCTGGGGCCTGAGGGGTGGGGCTAAAACCATCAAAATTAATGCAATCTTTAAAAATCTTCTTCTTTACTCCTGGACATCAAGCAGTCAAACTGTTGGCATGATTGTAATAAGCATTGAGCCCTCTACCAAAATTGTGAAATTCATGGCCCCAGGGTCAGGGGTTCTGGTGCTAGGGCGGGGCTCTAATGAATATATAGTGAAAATGCATTAATTCTTTAAAAATCTTCTCCTCTGCTCCTGGGCATTAAGCCGATGAATTAAGTACATAGTTATGATGAGAAAGGATGCCTCTTCCAAAATTGTGAATTTCATGGCCCCTGGGTCAGGGGTTCTGGTGTTAGGGCGGGGCTCTAATGAATATATAGTGAAAATGCATTAATTCTTTGAAAATCTTCTCCTCTGCTCCTGGGTATTAAGCCAATGAATTAAGTACATACTCATGATGAGCAAGAGTGCCTCTTCCAAAATTGTGAATTTCATGGCCCCTGGGTCAGGGGTTCTGGTGTTAGGGCGGGGCTCTATTGAATATATAGTGAAAATGCATTAATTCTTTGAAAATCTTCTCCTCTGCTCCTGGGTATTAAGCCGATGAATTAAGTACATAGTTACGATGAGCAAGATTGCCTCTTCCGAAATTGTGAATTTCATGGCCCTTCTTGGTGAAGGGTTCCATGTTGGGGGGGGGGGGGGGCTTATTTATTATATACTGAAAATAAATTAATGCTTTGAAAATCTTCTCCTCTGCCCCTTGGTATTAATTAAACAAACTAAATACATAGTTATGATGAGAAAGGATGCCTCTTCCAAAATTTTGAATTTCATGGCCCCTGGGTCAGGTGTTCTTGAGCTTGGGTGGGGTTCTATTGATTAATTAGCAAAATGCATTAATGCTTTGAAAAACTTCTCCTCTGCCCCTGAGTACTAAGCAAACAAGCTAAATGCAATAATATCAATGTAAATACATGTATTAAATTTAATTGTAAGTAAATGTGCCTTTTCTTTGCTTGTGGTTATCTAGGAGACAGAGTACACAATTGTGATGTGAAGCAAATGAGAGTTACTCCCCTTTGCTAAATATTGTTAATCAAGAAATCCTTGAATATAATTTAATTAACAGGTTATTTGATTGAATGAGAATACAAGAAAGAATGTTATATATATATATAGAGACAAAATAAAATGAATGTTTGGTTTAAATGAGCAAAGTATGCTCAAAGTCAGATTCTTGCCTGGAAAGCAGTATAAAAGATTGACATAAAGATTATTTATATATTTAGCAAAAGTTGTAATTGTATACAGTTTGTATACTATGTGGTGATCTAAGTTAGTGTCACTTGTAGAGGAGTTGTGGTTGACAGGAGACTGGATGTTGTTTTATACATCAAAGTGAACAAAGAATCGCAGAGGGCCAGAGTGACTTATTGTAATTATTGACATGTGGCAAATAACCACGTTGTATATACCCAAGTCTGTGTGTACTGAATTGTAGCACTAGGCAAGTGACAAAAAAAATATCTGTATATATTGAATACCTTACACAATAGGCAAGTGTTCTTTGTATTTGTGTATTTTGCATTCATTATCATCCCTGTAAGACATGAGAAAACCAAGTATGATCCAAAGGAGATCAATCGGGTCTAGCACATTACAATAAGCAAGGGTATTTTTACCAGATTTTTAGCTCACTTAGACGAAGTCGAGATGAGCTCATGCTATACCTCCGACGTTGGCGTCCTGGTTAAAGTTTTAGGAGCAAGTCCACTCCCAAGTAACTATAAGCCCTACCTGAACCAAACTTGCATGGATGATGCATCTAGGGATGGACACTACCACACTTGCTTCGGATGCTGGATCTGACCTAGATTTTCCAGATGAGTGACCAAGTTAAAGTTTTTGGAGCAGGTCTTTTTCCAAGTAACTATAAGTCTTACTTAAACCAAACTTGCATGGATGTTGATCTTGGGATCAACTAGAAAAAAATATGATGTGAGATTTGCCTTACTTATAGATAACATTTGTCGAGGTGAGCTTCGTAATCTTTGATTACCTATGTTTGAAATTCTTTAGCAACATTGCTTCGTCTATCAGTTAATTTTGTTTTATACTTCCATAGATCCTTTAGTGTTGTATTATACTCAGGTGACCGTTAAGGCCCTTGGGCCTCTTGTTTTAAAGCTTATTAAAATGATGGGGGGCACATACGGTACCCTTGATAATGTTAAATATTTGAATATACTTTTTGTACCAATTATCAAAATGTCTTTAAAATATGTAAAAGAATATTAATTTTATAATAATTATCGTAGTGTCCAAATATGTCACGGTTATAATGGGTACATGGTATGAGATCAAGTCCAATTAATAGTTTTACAAAGAAAGCGCAGTATGGCGAGATAATTTTATTATAAAAACAACACATTAATTGACAATAATTCATGCGGAAGTGAAGCGTTTCTAATCACTGTGCTTTCTACATGTAAAGTCAGCAGTTTTTAATGAGGAAAATTATCTTATCGACTGTGTCTGAGGGAAGACGTATCTCAATTTTAGGATGAGAATTCCAACTCTTTATCACTCTTTTATTGAATTTATTTATTCGAATGTCGTTTCGTTATTCGATCGTCGGTCCATTCGACTGATGGTCGAATAGTCAACTATTCGTTGACATCCCTACCTGTTTGTGATCAGCACTAAGTAAGATGTTATTTATAATAAAGAATCATCCATATACTTTACCCTTTGTGGTCCAAGATTATTTTTGTGGTAAAGAATCAATATTTCTGTAGTAAGTAATTTTTTTATGCACATGATTTTTTTTTTTTTTTTTTTTGGTGTGTGTGTGTATTAAAGCAAGACAGTCTGCTAACAAATATTTCAATCTTTTGTATATTAATATCGTTGAAAATGATATACATTGTACAACAATAACCAAAATTTGTGGAAATTTTATCCTGCTTATAAGTACCAAATTACTGTCTTGTGAAAATAAGATGTTGCTAAAATTTGGTGATCTGCAGTATTTCTGGCTTTTATAAATGACATGTTTGAATACATGTATTAGTACATGTAGTCATGTACATACAAGAAAACATTGTACCAGTAATCCAGGGTTCCTATTTTTTCATGAACAGGCATTTAAAAGAATCAAATCATACATAGACTATGCCAAAGACTCCCCTAACCTGACTCTTATAGCTGGAGGAAAATGTGATGATAGGTAAGGAACATGCTCAATGTATCCATCTGGATAAGACAGTACTTCCTTTTTTAGCTCTTCTGAGCTAAAGGCTCAAAGAGCTAATGCTATGGCCATTTGTGCGGTGTGCGTAAACTTTTTAGAATATGGGCCATAACTCAAGAACCCCTTCCGCAGCACAGTTAAGGCTACAAAAAGGGGCGGAGCCTAATTTGTACGGGAAAAATTAACTATGACATCATACAAAAACAACAATTCTTAAAAATACCACAAAATGAAATAATTTGCTATTTTAAACTGTAGGAAACCATCAAACTACATCAAAACTTACTACAACATGCTGTTTTGTCGTTAGTTAAATCCCACATAACAAGTTATAAACAAGTCACTGATCGCAATGCACTTGTCGATGTGACGTCATTTCGTAAAACTTGACGCAGTATGTATGCAGTGAGTGGCGGATCAAGTAATATTTTCTCAACGAAAAATGTATTCTATAATTAAATAAAATATTATTTACAGATATTTCATAGGCCGTTAACTTGGATTCAATGTCTTCTTTACGATTTTATTAATATATTTTCCGTACATTTCCTATTTAATTGATACTGCCGTATATTTGTATGCAAGTACATCGGAGGGTAATGTAAGGGTCTTAATAAATCGATCTAGTGCAAGGGCATACACTCAATGGATCATAGTAAGCTTTTACGAATCAACTCTAGAAGTATTTTAAGGTATCTGAAAAGTGCTGCGATCCTGGTGTAATCTTGAAATTAATTTAATTATATCTATATTTAATGCCGTTGACCAGCAAAAATACAGCATGCGGTAATACATATATATACAATTTTAACAATGAATTAGCAGAATCTATGTAGGATCGCAGCACTTTTCAGAAACTACAATGCGTGTTGAAAATATTTATGAACTAAACTTAGAATTTTAACTTGGTTATGCCCTTGCACTAGTGAAATTTATAGGTGACCTTAATACAAGTAAATGTGCTAAAATCACGTGACTGCCACATCACGTGACAAGTATAAATATAAAATCTAATCGTCCTCAATAAGTAGTTATTAACCATAATTACATTTGTCAGATATAAATAATGTACTAAATATAATCGCCATCCTGATTATGAATACATTTTTAATCACAAAAATTTGTCGATATTTCCATTGCGCACCTTAACTGTACTGCGTCGCCAATTATTGTCAAATTTGTCACAGTGTATCCTTGGCCTAATGGCTCCTTTTTATACTAAAACTAGGGTTGTGACCCTTAAACAAGGGGAGGTAATTAGGAAAATAGTAACAAAAGTATTGGTTGCTAAAAAATCTTCTCAAGAACCACTGGGCAGATTATCACCAAACTTATACAAAAGGATGAGGATATGTTGTAGATTAAAAATTGTTCAAGGGTGATAAATTGTTCAAGGCATCACCCTGGGGCAAAGGGCGTGGTCTTAAGGTCACTTCAAACTTGACCAAAAATTACATTTTATTAAAATGTTGATATTTTGCTTACTATAAGGACTAGGATCATCAAATCTTATTGGTTGATGCATCTAAGGACCTCATATCATGCTGACTCAAAAGTAGGTCACGGTGACCTACTTTTTAAATTTTGCGGCCATTCTTTTTCAAAATGATTGAGAGGCATATTTTGAACAATTTAAGGCCTATGATCATCAAACTTTGTCACTTGATGTATCTTGGGTCCTTGAAGTACGGCAACTAAAAAGTAGGTCACCTTGACCTACTTTTTGAATTTTATGGCTAATCTTTTTCAAAACAATTAAGGTCATTAATTCGAATACCAAGAGGTTTAGAATCATTAAATCTTGTAAGATGATGTATCTTAGGGCCATAAAACATGTTTATTAAAAAGTAGGTCACAGTGACCTACATTTTGAACTTTGCAGGCATTCGATTTCAAAGCATTTTAGAGGCATAATTTGGACATTTAAAGGCCTATGATCATAA